GATAACTATTAGTTAGCGAACTCTGTCGTCATCCTTTTGCGGTATCTTTGATTTTGTTTAATGGGATCGCATACCTCAACTCGCTCTCCCGGTCAGTCTTAAAATATCTTGGTGTTGGCGGGTGCCAGATTTTGTTACATCGGGCGTGTATTGCCGGCCACGGTGGGACTTGTGAGACAATCATTTCAAAGTAGAATTCAGGGAATTTCAAATTTGTGATTGTGGAGAGGGGCAGGAAAGGCAGGTTTCTTTTTTCAATGTTCTCGGAAAGAGGTCTTTCTGGTTGAAAGTAGCAGACGCGAGACAAGGTAATATGAGAGTCCATCGGTCCTTCTTTCATAGCGACTGCTTGAAATCGGTTAAGTGGGTGCATTTATACAACAAATGCAACGATTCTGTCGTGGAACAATGCGACACAACACACTACAGTTGCAGGTTGTAATGAAGTCCAAGTTCAGGCCAAGTTGACCTCGTGGGCAGCAGGCCATAAGAGTTCTGACGCGCGCCTTGGTGTGAAATTTGCATACTTAGCAAAACAAAACAAGGATGGCCATTCAGTGCTTTACGACAGTCTCCAAGACACTTAAAGTTGAAACTGCATGCGATAAATTTGTCTTGGACACAAGTTTTCTGCATCTTTGTTCTGTTCTTCAATGTATGAAAACTATTTGGCGTCCCTGTTACGTTAAATGCATTAATCACACACTTTATTAAATCATTTTAAATCATGCAAGCTATCTTGGACAACCGAGGGCGTTGTTGCTATGATGCCATCCAGGGAAGACATGTTTCAGTGCATGCGTTTTTCTTCGCAAATAACACTACAGCTGCAGCTGGAAAAAAAATGGACATCCATTGTACATGATACACAAGTCGCTGGCTGGAGGCAGCAGTGCGTGCACTCTCTACAGACGCGTATGCTACGGCCGCACCCAACTGATTTTCATAAGTTATAAAATATATAAGATCAACAAGTGTACATGGAAGTTTGAAGATCAAAGCATATATGGACCATTTAAAAGACATATTTCAATGAAGTCCTTGACACTGCACCTTGGTGTTTCACTAAACTTTATTCAAAACGTTTGTTTTGCTATTTCATCTGTATTTGGGGCCCTTTTTGGTTTTTATATTGATATGAACTTGCATATTCAAGAGCAAAACTGCGATTTAATCTGAGACACTGAACCTCAGTGTAGCATTGAACAATGCACAATCATTTCTGGCGTTTTATAATTGCTACCAACCATTTTTATTTCCTTTGGCAATTCATAGTTGCATAAGTATATGGCAATAAGCCAGCAAGTAACCTTTTCTCAGAATTGATTTTAAAGATTATAGTTAGGGTTCAACATTTGAACGTGAAAGCATGCAAAACGAACAGTTTCCGCTTGTATTTACATCACACCAACAGAGCCCTCACTTGTTGGGAAAAGCGTGGTCAATTTTGAAAGTTTAACAAAGTTCACTTAGGCCTAACTTTAAAAAATCGAAAGTATTTTTGCGCACTGGGGAGGAGTTTGAACAAGCAGTGATTCTAATTCCATAGCAATGATCTTTTAAGTTTAATGAAGACAGATCAATTCATTATAAGATTGGTTGCATTTCTGAGCAGGTGCCAACGAACCGGCGAATTACCGTTCTGGTGATTTTCAGATTTTACCTCACGAGTTGACGAATAGGTTTGACAGACGTATTCAAACAAAGTATTGCTCATAGAGCCAAAAATACAATTTAGGAAATGATTTCAAAGACCTGTTTTGTATCTTTTATACACAGAGATGAGAGAGTTGAATTAAATATCTTCAACGACCACACAATAACTGCTTAACCAAAAGCGTGTTTTACTCGAAAACGGTGATATTTTATATTCGTCGGTTCGTCAAATGCGACGATTTCACCAGTGAGCCTGGATCTGGCGCAATGGAGGTATTGCATGGTAGCCATCTTGCATGGTAGCCATCTTGCAGGGCATTCCTTTTGTTCCACAGGGTAACCTTCTTTGCACATAGGCCTATCACGTGGAACAAAAGCAATGGACTGCAAGGTGATGACCATGCAAACCCTCTATTACAACAGCCATCCGGACGAAGCTGGACAGACGCAAGTCGACACCGCTGAAATTTACACATTCGTAGAAAGCCTGAAGTGAATTAATGCTCGTAGAAAAATCCGCTCATTATCCACTAGGAAGGCAGTCAATTAAATGGAATACATGTACATCGTAAATCTGTTCGGTGAATCACATTAACTACAGTTACGCGAGTGGGCGCTTAACTACTCCCTTGTTAGCACCAATTTCCGTTCGCCAAGTGCAAAACTTTATCCATTAAAGGTCACTTCTTCCCATTGCATCCTTTCCTTCAATGACTGTTTGGACTGCAAGCCTGTAAAGGGGCAGCATTTACACGATAAATAAAACTTAGCTCCTCCTTGTGACTAATTGAATGGTGACTGAAGACGGTGGCTGAGGTAAATTAATAATCAAATTTTCAGATGCGTTGACGTGCCGAATTGCTATAATTACATTCAGTATGGGACTGAACAAAATTAACGACTATACATGTTGTGTGCTATCCACCCACACACGAAGATACTTCGAGAGGTCAGTGTAAAGCATGTCATTGACTCCACTGAAAGTTCTCTGCCCGAGTGTGCACGGAAAAAAACAACATTTAGAGTTTAGACACTTTTTGTAACCACTTTTTTTAAAAACACGTTTAACCCTTGCATGTTTATCGAAATGCGTTTAGGAATGTGTTTAAGGATGCTAACCGCTTTTCCATGGTACATGTTCAGCTTTTTGAAATCCGCTTAGCATTCAAACACCTTCCTAATTACGTAACAATAAACGCGTGGCGGTCAAACATGTTTCAAAAGTGGGCACACAAAATCGTTAAGAAATGTTTGTGAACTCTAAGCGCATTTACGGATCTGAGGGACAATTCAGTATTTAAATGGACCATGTGGCGAGTGTTTGTGAAATTTGAAAGCTGTGGTCTAGCGGCATCGACTTCCCCGGTGCAAAAGTAAACCATTTATTATTTTCAGTGCTACAGCCATTAAACTAACCAGCTTTAGTTTTTTTATTTCCAATGGAAATTTATACCGGTCAGCGTGCTAGTGAAATGATGACATATAGACGACTTTATTAATGGGGTGCATCACTGTCGCTCAAAGGTATCCGAATATTGACGCCACAAAACCAGTCAACCAACACCACATCAAAAAGAAGAGACAGTTGAATTTCTAAGCTAAAAGTCAGTGAATAGAAAAAGTGGTAGAATCTCTACATATCCTTTGACCTGTGATTTTCCCATTTCATACTGTGTACCCTCGTCTGCTGTCAAAATACGTTTACTGAGAACTTGAAATGACACATAACCATGAAGGCAGATCCTAAGGTTAGCTAACGACAGCACGGAAAGACACAAACACTTGAAGGTTTTTTCACTCAAATACCACTGCCTGGAAACTGTGCCCTTTGGCCTTTAGTTATGACATGGAGCTATTAGACACACCACACTCGGCTCTCACCGATATTAGCCTCGACCCCAGGACCAGAAAGTCGTTGACATTTCAGGTAGTGTCAGCAGAAAAAGAGAGAGAGAGACAGCGGGAGGCCCGCCAGTAAAGATGCCGCGGTTAGCAGCCGGTTATAAAACACCTGACACCGAATCCGTGAATTCTTGGGTAAACTGTTTAGATTTTCATGGGTTTGTCGCCGTCGGGGGGCAACGCACGGAACAAGAGACACCGCCAATAAAGCGACACGAATCTCGCTCCCGATGATTCAACAGTCTTGTTCTGGTGACGGTGCGCTGCATCACTCACGAAATGCTGTGTTTCACAAGCAAATTGGGAAGGTGACAATACGTGTCGGCGAGTTTATGTTTAAAAGCGAGAATTTAGGGGATCGCGTGGCGTGTTTTCGGAAAGTGATTTGGTTCAAAATTAATGCCTCCTCTTAAAGGTACAATGTATTGCACCTGTCCTCCAAATGAAGTTTTTTTTAAACACTGGATTGGTTGTTGACTTTCTCATGTACACGGGAAGTGGGCCTATATGTTTCTAACAATGACGAATGTGAGAGATATTAGTTTCAAGAGTTGAACACTTCTCAGAGCTCACGATTCGGACTGGAGCCTCGTGACACGAAATGGTCGAACACTGCGATTAGCTGGACTGATGCCCAATATGGCTGACGGTTTGATCACGGTTTTGTCTTACATGTGGATAAGGATAGCGGGTACCAGTGGCTTAAATATGAATGCATTCCACAATACGGATGGTGAACACTGTTTGCAGAGCGTGCCGGACGAGAAGCAAAAACCCTCATTTTAAAATTCATGCATTTCAAAGATCTCCTCTTATTTCATATACGAGTACCGTCAGAAAAAGAAAGAAATTTAACACAGAAATCAACCTCTTAAAACTGAATAAAACCAAAAATGAGTAAATTACTATAAATTTACACGATCTTCAATGTACGAAGATAGCACTACGTTTGTGCATTGACTTTTGAGGTATATGAACAGGAAACAGACCAAAAGCTGTTAAAAATTAAATTATTCCACATTACACTTCCCCCCAAAATCGAGGGCAGTGCAAAATCTACCGGTCCGCAGACTATATGCACTTGAATTTTGTCCTGTATGAGAACAAGTGATACTCTCTGAACCGAACAAATATGCTTGTCTCTCAAATGAACAAATGCTTTTTCTTAATAAAAAAAAAAGAAAATGCGAAAAAGCCCTTTGCTCTGTCCTTAAGACAGACAAAACCTCTAGTTGGGAGTGGTACTGTCGCGCTGCGGCTGATCAAGTTTTACAAAGCCAGTGAAGTTTGCTTTGAAACATCATTATCGACGCACAGTAAGCTCGATATCGCTTGAATCTAATCCGTAATTAATAACGTCCTTGATAAAGCCCGTGAATAGCTGTCATGTTATCCGTGACGTCAATTGCCGTCTTAACGCGGCTATGCTCGGATGTACTCACGTTCGATTGAAGTTCGTCCACCGATTACGGCGATGAAATACGAGCGGTGGAAAAAAATCCCTTCGCTTTGGACAAATCGAGACTACTCGGTAAATTATCTCCTGCTAGACATGCTGATGCGGGATGCAATGATGCAACAGCCAGCAGCGCGGCCGCCTGTTGTCCAATCCACAGTCAGCGAGTCCCAGGGTTCAGTGGAACCGCATCCTTGGAGCTCCCACCTCGCTCGTGTCAGGGGAGAGACGTGGTGGAAATGTCTTCCTTAGCTCGAGGTGGTAAGTCGTGCGTGGCACTTGCAATAGTCACCAAGACACCCGTCAGTGTATCAGATGTCGACGGAGGTGCGTGGAAATTGAGCTCATCCATAGTCACATCTTGAGGATTATGATCTCACGAGCGTCTATAATACTGGGCATGGTCTCTCGACACTACACCCAATAGTTGCTCGGCGTGCACTCCAATGGAGGGTTCCCGTCAAAGGTGCAACGTCCATATGCCGTGAAACTGTTTTTCGTTTCCTTCCCTTACCCAGATGGCGTTACTACTTCCTAGTCAACAACTTGTAAGAACCGACTGCCGGACGGCGGGGGTGAGCACAGGTTATTATGTCCGAAGAGCGCACGGGGCACCGCTCCGCCTCCGTCACTGCGACGTCACAGCAGGATGCACGGGCAGTGGCTCGATGCTGTGCGCTGCGCGCCAGAAGTATAAATGAGAAAACGAGTGGCGCAAGCTCTGGCACATGGAGACAGTTTGCCAGACGGCTGTTTCGAGAGTCGTTTCTTTGCAATGGCTGGCAAATGGTGGGAGGTAGGTCAATGTCACGGTGCATCGATCAATATGTTAATTTCGATGTTGAGTTGGATGAAGGCGTAGAGACTTTTAAAAGACAGCGTTTATCAACGTCAGTCCAGTGGTGTTTATGTATACCTTACTTCTTGACAGAAGGTCTCATTTTAAACTAAGCACAATGAAAACCTGTTCGAACGGTGTTCATCCACTGACTACACGATAGTGAGTGTACACAATACCCATGTAACAACATTCAATATGACTCCTCCATTTATGACGATTAAATTGTCAGTTTTCCACTGACTTTAACAATTAGTTTTGATTTGACATCAAAACAATTTCAAACGCTTTGTTACACAAACTATTAGTTAAACACCGATTTATAGTTTTGCCTTATAAGTTTAATGCAATTTAGGGGAATGAGCAGTCAACCCGGCTTGGACACGAGAAATATTCAACTCAAGTTGCATTTATGACTTTGGTGCCACGCCTCATTCTCATCATAAGTAAAGATGCAGACCTCATCATAAGCAATAGTGCAGACCTCCCCTTAGCGTATGGGATATACGATTTCAACACTACACGCTATGCTGCGTGGTCACATTGGTGATGGGCTATTCACATGGTAGGGACTATTACCGTAAAATCAAATGTCGATAATATTTTCTTTAAAATTACTTTGAAGGGATTACTAAACTGTATGGATCGTAGGTGTGTCTACAGTGTAATAACTACAACAATCATTTCACAGTGTGTGGTATGTTCACCAAGAAAAACAGGAAACGACGCCATTAAACTTTTGTCTTCACTTCTAGGTGTACGCACATGATATAATACGTTATAATGCAAGTTACGAAAATATTTGGGACCATTAGAGGTGGTACACGTGCGGGATACGTACACGGCTTGGACAAATGGGCATAGCTATATCACTTCTAAATGCAGTCCTGTGCACTTTTACAGCAACTTGAATTCCATATCAACACATCTGTCTGCGCGTGCAAAACAGTTTTGCAGCCACCCATTTCTTTGATTCTTCCTGAGTCTCCAACACACATACCACCATTGTTCCCCTTTTGTTCTCAATCTACACGTTTTACCCAACATTTTCGAGTCACACTTCTTTTTTTTTTACTTTGAAGCTTTCAACGTTTATCCTTTATGCACACAAGAAGATGAATTTTATATATACTGTTTTGCTTTACGTGACACGTGAATCAATAATATGATGATAGGATTTCTAAATGTCCCCACGATAACTACCGGTAACGTGTTTACAAGCGATATGTGCATGCATGAAAATTGGTATGACATCATAACTTCATGAGCGTACACCATATGGCTATGTGCAGTACACCGTACGTAACAGACAAGATACCTTCTATGGTGTCGGTGCATGGCACAATATACGTACAGTATCACTAGGGGACAAAACGTCCGTCAGTGGCGAACGGGGGTATGCCCCCCACTCAAGGCCTATACCACCACCCCTGTGTCCGCCCCCCCCCGCTCGGAAATTAAAGAAGAAAAATATTACTGACGGTCAGGATTTTGACTGTGACTAAACCCAGTGGGTGCCTGCCCCTCCCAGACTCCAGAAAACGAGGGCCCCCTTGTGCCCCTCCGCAATATGTACACCGGTTACAGCACTGGTGCATGTACACGACAGATAACAACACTCATCGTGTACGAACGCGGTAACACATTGTAAGATGTACGTGCCATGTAGAGAAATGTGAACGGTGCCAAGTCTTCGTAGTTCAATAAAACAGCAAAACAAAACTTATCGGACACCGTAGTTTTTGCTGTTCACTCTTTGTCTATGTGGACGACGATGATGACATCTGCTGGTGTACGACCCTATGTCTGTAAGGTTGTTGGTATTGAAACTGTCACGTGCAAAAAGCACGTGTACTCATTTGACGGCTGTTTGATGTACCTTTTTTACTCATATACGCTGACCTTTTGCAGTAATTATGAAGGTTCCTTTGCAAGAAATCTTGAAGCCCTTTTATCCCCCTTCTTGGCTTACAAAAAAGTTCCAGTTGACTGAGGGTGATATATCATGTCAGGATGGTATTACGAAAACATACATCTGCAAAAGCCGGATCCAGATGGTCAACTAGGGATGATCTCTGGACTTAAAGTTATTTGCAAAGGCTGTCTCAAATGTCAGCGTGACTAAGGTCTATGCTATTGTTTCTGAAAAGACAGACCCAGAAAAACCCGCGTTACCGAAAAACTGCTCTGTTGGGAAATCTTGAATGAAGCCAAGAAAATCCCTGGGTCTCCAGAGATAACAAGTATTTGGACATGTCCGGCTGGTTTACACGTAACGACATTTTAACAACGCAGACATTGAAGGGGTTTTATGACCATCCATCTGCATGTATGGAACAAAAAATCTCGGTGTACCGATTCTGCAGCAAAGATCCATATCACATTATTGTTCATTATTAAGGTTCATACAGTACAGTGTCGACCCAAGCAAAGCACATGCACTCTATCAGATTACGGTGTATTAAACAACACGTGCGATATCACGTGCATTCTTCGTTGACGACCGCATTTTCTCTACGAGATAATTTATGCATAATGCTAGTAATAGATCATCTCATTTTTTACGTCTCTCAGTCTATTTTCCCAAGTTACTTTACGCAGAGAAAGACACAAGGAACTTCTCATTGGAACCTGGGCCAAGAGGACTGTTTTTAAACAGTCTAGATCGAGAACAATGAACGCATCTTCTGATAAGCGAGAGGGCATAGTTTCATATCAAGCTTTATCTGAGAAATGACAGAGCGAAGCCGAGATGCGGGTACCGAACATGCACACAGTCCAAGCAAAGTCACTGCGCCACGGCCCACAAGCGACCACTTAACCAGGTTGGCACCAGACCGAAATGAGGCCACAGCCAAAACTGATATCGGTTTTACAACAGTTCACAGCTATATCTCTCGTCACTTTGGCTGAAGCGAGTAGCTCCCTTTGGATTTGAGGACACTTGAACCTAAACCAAAAAACATAATCTACAGCATACAGCAGGTGTACAGAATGCTCCGCATTGCATGTCCACTCTGATGAATACCAACCAAAGTTTCGTCCTCAATAACTCCCATAATTTGGTTTAAATAATACAATTGCCAATCATGTCTAGAATTTGAAGTCTCAGATTGGACAACGGTGATTTTTTTTTCGTCGTGTTTAAGAAGTCTTTTTGAAGTATCGTTTTGGTGGTTTGTGGAATAAGGCTTTCTTTATCAACAGATTGTACGCCTTCTTCAATTGTTGTTTTTGCCATGGATATGCCTCACAAATAGGCAGGGCGATCTGCGAGTTTAAAACCCGCCCTTGGATAGCTCATTTCTATAACCTCTTTGACTAACGCACCCTCTCGATGACATCGTGAAGGAACAGCATTTGCCTCCTTATTATTACTTTTTCTATTGTCCAAAATGACCACATGACCATTACGTACAACACTCTGAGAACAACATGCGTGTGACCGACTGTAAGGCCTTGATTTCAAGTCCATGTGAGATATAAGACACTCGGTGAACTCTGACATTCCCGGTCATTCATCGTTAAGAGCAAACAAAAAAATTGAAACGGCAAATCGAAAATGGAGAAGGTTACTTGTAACGCAAACAGCAGGAGGAACAACAGGGGAAATTATACGTCCCGCGGGCGGTGTAAATCACGCAACTCCCGACAAAGGTCATCTGATTGGATTACACCATTTATTTTGACAGAGGATGCCGTGATGCAAATGGTAACCCGCGTTACCATGGCAACCACTTACAACGATAACCGTGCAATTCTAAAGGAGCCTTGTCGATACCCGAAACGTAATACATTGTTGCGCTGCCTATTGGGGGAGACTGGTTACCTTGGAAAGAGACACTTTAAAGCTTTTGGATGGTTTTCAGCAAAATGCCGAGACGAGGTACTTCATGGAACTAAAACCAAGGAAAGCAATAGGCTGTCTGAATTAGACGCAGGTACTGGGAAAGATTCGGAAGAAAAAGCAGCGAAAGTCACTGCAAAAAAGGAATTTTCATTTGTTCTTTTATTATCACTATAAAAAAGGTGTTTTGAGACTTAATCGCATGTCTCATAATAGACTAGCTTCCAAAACGGCTACTTTGATGAATCCAACTGCGCCCACTGAAACCATTCAGCGATGGACTTGAAGTGTTTAGTTTGGAAACAGATTTGGTAGTGAATGGTCGCTGAACAAACAAACGGGTATCGGTTACTTGACACTCCCGCGCCCAAGACAAATGTTCCATATAGGGAGGAGCTTGACATTAAAGGAACGAAATAACATCGAAGTCCTGGAAAAACAGAGGAGTATTTTTGTCTTCTCTTTCTCTTCTGAAGGGCCGTCTTAAGTTACACTCCTATCGAAACTGACTTGTCTTGAGTCCAGCAGAAGCTGCGAACGGAGAACCGAGGGCTTACTGTGCGACGAGAATTCTGCAAGTCAAAGAAATGCCGTCGAAGTCTCCGAAAATAGACTCTTGTGACGCAGCCGGCTTAACGCGGCACAGATGCGTGCAATGACACCGCCACTGCGTCGGACGCACAGATACATTTCTTGTTGTTTTCAAGAGGACCTCTAGGTTGGTGCCGGTTGTAAAATAGGGTTTGGTCCCTTGGCTGTTCCTTGAAACGGGGTAAATCAACACTGACGTAGGAGATGACGTAAGCACGGGGACTGAAGTGTATTTTCACTGAGATACCATTTCAAAAAAATATTTTCCAATTTTTGTTTGCCTTTAAAGCTGACTCCACCATTGAGATAATATTGAAAGTGTTCACATCCACACAGCGCAATAGCAAACATGAGGGATAGCATTTACTCAGAT